AGTATACGGTCATCATGACATTTCAGTTAGATCATGCTCGATGGCTTAGGAACAGGAACATAACTGTTAGTAATTTTCCGTATTATTTAACAATTCTAAACTCGGGCAGAGATTTTATTACATTTCCATTTGGTCTTTGAAAGGATTTAGTGATGAAATAAAGGAAGTGTCTGTTTATTATGTGACATTTTTAATGATTATTCTCATTGATAGTGCATTGGTAAGAAGTGTATGACCTGTGAAGATCGGGTTTAGAATGTTGAAGTAAGACTGACTAACGAAGTTGTCAGGCTCACTGACTTGGTTGTGTATGATATCGTCTCTCAACTGCGTATATCGATGCTCATGATGTCAATCACTGGGTTGTCTGAATATTGCTGAATATTGTTCCTTGTACCCTCCAAGCGATTTATATTTGTAAGGTTGTAGCCATTTACAAACAAGAATACAGTTCTGAAAATAATGAAGTCATGCCTCAACATATCACCTATCATCGGTGTGAAATGGCCGGCTACCATGTCGCCATTTGGCTTTTCCTCATGATGTATATCCGCATAGCAAGTGAACACATAGTCTCATGAAATATTGAATACATTTTCCAAACCCAAACCCCCAAAGATGATACCACACAGTGGCTCACATATAAATTGGCGTTATTTGTCTTTATTGTGAACAAAGTATGTTATGATGATGGATTCTGTTGGAACATATTTTGATGTATACTGTCATGGAAGTGGTAGGAATTGGTTCAGCGGTTCCATGGCATCAATGCTCGAGGTGTTATATCATCTGCTGTGAGTCTTGTGTTGAGAACCACGGTTAGGTTATATCAATTTGCGTCTCAGTCTAGCCAATTTGTTTCCGGTGTTTCTGATTACATTCCTCTTTGATCTGCCAACCCCCTCCAGGTAGAAGAGCCACATTAGGGACGTCTAGTTTCAACTTTAAAGTTGCAAACCCTTCAAACAAGGGTCTTTCTATCACATATTGTCTTCATCTTTTGCAATAGAATGCGTTTTCAAAAGATAAAGACCAACACCATAAGTCCATCATTTGTCATTCCTGCTTGACCATTGAACAAGAATCTGCATCGTACTCATGAAATAAATAAGTTGTTATCGATAAAGTTTATCTATATTGTACTTCCCAGCTTATACAATGTCACTCGAAGAACTCATAAGAAAATCAGTTTTCAACTGAGGATGGAATTCCTCGCTTGTATTCAGAGCTGGAGTTAATGACATCGCCATCTTTGATATTTCATTTGTGAACACCATTGTGTCGAACATATGGTTGTTTCGAAGGAAAAACTTGAACACCTGCGTACTGCTTGTGTGGAGTCGCTGATAACTCGAAGTATTCACAGAGGTCCTTCGACGGTGTTTGACACAACGGTGTTGCCTTTCCTTTAATGTATAATAATAATAAGTCATCTTCTATGGCGCACAGTCTCCAAACACTAAGTGATTGCTCGTGGCGCTTTATCAGAATTTGACTCTTATTACCCCGGATAACCCAAGCTGCCTGTTAGGCGCTAGAAAGTTGTAGTCACGTGACTTTATCTAACCGGGTACCCATTTTCTGCTGGGTGAACAGAGGCAAATTTGAACAAACTCACTTGCCTAAGATGAGACCACATGTATCACATGTGCTTCGTTATGGGGCAGGACTGAAACTAGAAACTCTCAGGAGTCAAGCTGCCAAACACGTTCACCCATCCAAGAACTGTCCGAGCTCGACGTTGCTTAACTTCACTGATATAAATGATATAAATAATAATATAAAAATATATTTTCTTACTTTTTCCCCTGCAGACATAAACAACATTAACTGAAATAACATAAAACGGTCTAGACGACGCTTACTATCGACAAAGACTAAATTCTTTTTTGGTTTCAACTTACCACAAAATATGAACTCTGCGGTTTAAGTTTGTATGTGCCCATGTACAAAAATCTGTCTTTGTTGAACACACGCACCTGCTTCAGCATTAAGTTTATACTTCTTACCTCTTAAAAAACTATATAAATTTGCAGGGGGGTGGGGGGTGGGGGGGTTTACAGTTAATCGTATCCTTGTGACAGGTTTAACATGAAAGTAGATAGGATGAAGACAAGTAGCCTAGAGTAGATTTGCAGCAAGCATGATTATATAGCTGACGTCAAATGAAACAAAAACTGCCTCTTGACGTATACAGTTCACGTACATTCCACTACCTATTTCTGTGATAAACTTCTTAAATAACGATTAAAATGTTACGAGCTATGACGTTAAACATGGTAAAAGTCTGACTCATATGCTACATGAAACCCCCAAAATAACCAGCCTTGATCGCACAACGAAACATATTTCACCGGTTGCAAAGGAAAGATCCAACCCTATAATATATATTACATTCTTAAAAGCGGCTGTCTTTTGTTTCTTCAAACATCTGTGGTCACATAAAAAGAAAACTCTGCGAGTTAGAAGAAAATACCTTCTTTTAAATTTTTAATATAGTTTCTGAATCTTTATATGAGCTAGTGTTTCATCACGCATTAAATTATTCAGAGTGTCAAAAGAGGGATTTTAAAAAGCGCTTATCATCTTCTTGTAACTTTGTTTAGAACACTCAAATTAAGGTTTAAAATTAGGTATTAAACCATCTAAGTGTTAAGAAACTTGAAACATCCTGGCAAATGTTTCTGCATCTGAAAAGAAAATTACTTGCTGCAAGACGTTTGGCGCCGCGTAGTTGCAGTGGGTTCTTTCTGCGGAGCTGTGTGTCCTTTTTGTTGAGGGCAATTGTGCTATCAATCTTCTGAGACTGGTCTTCTCGATTAGTCGAGCTGCCAAATTGTGAATTTACTCCTTAAGGCCTCAGGGTAAAACAGACGGGTTTTAGTGACACAATCAATTGATATTCCCTAATGTTAAAGGTCTTTCGTTTACGCGATAGATTTCCACCATGTTCTTGAATATATCACCATGGAATGAGGGGCGTGTGTTCAAGAAGGACTGGTTTCTGATTGACCGAGGATGGGGCACTTGTTGATCAAGTGTTCCTTGCTTCAGTCTTATCTAGGTTCTGGTTTCAATCAAAACATAATGAATATAAAAGGCACATGTCACGTCCTTGTGTCACACACAGCCCAGGAACACCAAACGTACGTGACCTTGTCTTCATCTTGTGTTCCTTTTAACACATCGACCTCGCCTACCATTAAACTATCGATTTTGATATTTCAAAGGTGTTGAAAAATTGAATCGCAATAAATGATCACAGAAGGTAAACATAAAACCAATTCTATATATAAAAACACATTGTTTGAGGTTTGCAAAAAAAAATTAAAATGTTTGATCATTTTGTTGAAGTTTGATAAAAAAAACTTGAATCGCAAACGTTTACATCTAGAATTTACAGAACTAAGCTTCTGTAATAAAAAATGACTACATAAGATTTAAAAAATCAATAAATCATATCAAAACACATTGTTTGAGATGTGCAAAGAACAAAAAAAGTTTGATCATGTTTGGTAAAAATATTGTATCGCAAATCTTTACATACAGAACCTACAGAACAAAGTTTCTGTAATCAATAAATTATCACAGAAGATAAAGAAAAATCAATAAATTTTACCAAACCACAGTGTTTGAGGTTTGCAACAAAAAAGAGAAAGAAAAAAAGGTTTGATCATTTTGATCACAAGTAGATTAAATAAGTGGCAGCGGCAATACGTAACAGGCCATGTAATTAAGTGTTGTTGCTCTCAGGAGCATCCAGCAATTTGTCACTGTCCAAAGTATTGACAGAGGCCTGGCTCCGGAATTCGGAATTGCGTAAGAAGTTAGCAGGAATTTCTTGTACAAATCCAACCCAGCCAATAGAAGACTCAAGTCAGTTCATCCAGTCCTCGAATCGCCAGGTAGCCGGTCCTTTCTAAAAGTCAGCATTATTAAAACTGGAGCATTCCGAAACTTCTCCAACGATCAAGCATGCCATGTAAACAACTAGGGGCCAATTAATATTTCTTTACTGCGAGCTAAATAATTTCTTGCCAGTGATAATTACCGAAAATATATAACAGCGGTGTCTTTAACCATACTTATCTTACTGATACTTGATATATGTTATTTTACACTTTGAATTGACACACTAGAAGTCCCACGTGTCATACGTAACAACCTCAAAACATTTGGTTTTATTTACGTATAGAGTGGTGGGGTAGCCTAGTGGTTAAAGCGTTCGCTCGTCACGCAGAAGACCGGGTTCGATTCCCCACATGGGTACAACGTGTGAAGCCCATTTCTGGTGTCCCTCGACTGGAATATTGCTAAAAGCGGCGTAAAACTAAACTCACTCACTCACTTATTAACATTTAATGTTTTAAAGAAATGTCCACATTCCAAATGTCCCCTTCAAGATATGTATCTACCCTTACACATACATAATGCCAAAGCCATAGCCTGTTAACGGGAAAGTAGTGGTGAAACTTGTACCAGTGGATCGCTGAACATAGGAGATGACACCAGGTGTTCAGCTATACTTGTACATCGACATATATACTTTGGTTCGCGACCCATCTTATTGTTTAAGCAAATATGTTTTGCAAAGCTAAAAAAATGGGAGTTTTGAGGCTATGCTCCATTGGGCATAAGAAGTAAAGCAGTTATGCAATTTATATGAATCCATCACTGAAAATCCTTAATGAAGCCATGTGAATACATATGCATATTACCTGTGATGATCCGGGTTAGAATTGGTCTTCAGTAACTCATGCTTGTCGTAAGAGACGAGTAACATGATCGGGTGGTCAGACTAGCTGACTTGGTTGACACATGTCATCGCATCCCAGTTGCGTAGATCGATGCTCAATCACTGGATAGTCTGGTCCAGATTCGATTACATACAGAACTGCCGCCATATAGCTGGAATATTGCTGATTGCGGCGTAAAATTAAACTCACTCACTCACTCACATCTGCAAATGTATTCGTTCACGATTCATTTCCTGATTTCAGTAAACAGTTCCTGCAGCGCTCCGAGTATATCGGGAGTTTTGGGCCCGTGGTGTGGTACATCATGTTGTGTGTCCTAGCAACGTGGATCATCATCTTCCTGTTCGTCTTCAGAGGGACCAAGGGCATTGGCAAGGCAAGTGATGGACGGTATCACGATGCAGTTTCATCGGAATTAAATTGTTAACTTCGACGTTATCTTTTGGTTGGTTGGTTTGTTGTGTAGCCCCACACTCAGCAATATTCCAGCTATATGGCGGCGGTCAGTAAATAATCGAGTCTGGACCAGACAATCCAGTTATCAACATCATGAGCATCGATCTACGTAATTGGGATGACTTGTTTCAACCAAGTCAGCGAGTCTGACCACCTAATCCCGTTAGTTGCCTCTAACGACAAGCATGGGTTGCTGAAGACTTTCGCTATATGGCTGAAATAATGCCGATCCGTTAATTTTAGCACACTCACTCCCGAAGACCGATTCGATGTTAACGACTGTGAGACCCACGGGCATGGTAATGACAAGTACCACTCACCTTGGACTTCACTTATGTCTACTACTTGACGTGTTTCCTGACCATATTGTTTGGTCATATTATGTAGCACAATAATGTTAAGATGGCTAAGTTGTGAATATATATGATGCCCATTCAGATTTCGTGGGTTATCTGTAATGAAAATGAAAACGATATTCGATACATGTTGTAAAGAGAATCTTCAAAGTATGTAGAGAGAGAAAGAGAGAATAATTTATTTCGGTATAAAGGCCATTGGCCCATGTATAATAAATGCAAAGTGGTATTTGTTATATAGACAATATGATTCAAACATATACATTGGTATATATATAAGAAGAAGTTTCTGAAATAATCACACGACACGGATCTTCGTGGCCATGTTAACTTCGAAGATCCGTGTCGTGTGATTATTTCAGAAACTTCTTCTTATATATGTACTACTGTACGCTCGGTATTCTCATGACTTTCTTTATATATATATATATATATATATATACACACACACACACACACATACATACACACACACACACACATTCCTCCTCACATTGAACAGAATTCCTTTTAGGTAGTGCATGTTTAATAAATACAGAATTTTTTCATAAGTAAATTATGTATAACGTATGTACACACCAAGCAGGTAGACAGATTACTGCAGTTTTATGCAGCCTGAGAACCACATGTTTTTATTCACTCTCCCTCGCAACTGCTGCCGTCTCTAATAGGAAATGAAAGCAGCACAGTCGTGTTTTGATTAATGTGTGTCTGAAACAAATAGCAATGTAATAAATAAGAACATGATCAATGTTACTTTGCCATCTGAGCATAGAATCAGTCATCGCTGATATGCGTCTAACCTTTTCAAAACGAACATAGCAAGAATTACTTTTTATTTTTACTTTTTGGGGAGGGGGTTGTTTTGTTTGGATTTTTTTATGTTTGTTTATTTGTGTGTGTGTGTTTTGTTTGTTTTGTTGGGTTTTTGTTGTTGTTTGCTTTGGGTTTCTTTTTTTTTTTTTCTTCTTTTGGGGGGTGGTGGCCTTTTTAAGGAGGGTGGGAGGTCGGGGCAGGTGGTTATTAAACAATTTAAGGAAGCATTTAAGCATATGGACATTGAGTATATAACAATAATATTTAATTTTCAATATTTAATTTAATATAGTTTTGTATATTTTGCCTCGGTAATTCGTGTAATCCTTGTAAACACTGAACCTATGTGAACAGATCCTGTATGTGCTCACCCCCCTGACTGTCATCTGCCTCGTCACCATCCTCATCTATGCATACTCGGCTGTCCCCAACGCCTGCAGATCCCTCTACTACATGTTCTCGGGAACAACTTCCAGGCATGATACCCTCACCAATAAATTCCACGAGAAGAACGTTTTCTACAATCAACTGGGAGACCCGAAGGTACAAACACATTTGTGTATGGTATTGTTTTCGGTTGTACTGTTAAAAGCATCCATCCAGCCATCCACACACAATCACTCTCTCACACATACGCTCGCACACATACACGAACATACATACATACATACATACATACATACATACATACATACATACATACATACATACATACATACATACATACATACATACATACATACATACATACATACATCCACACATCCACACATCCACACACAATCACTCTCTCACACATACGCTCGCACACATACACGAACATACATACATACATACACATACATACATACATACATACATACATACATACACACACACACACACATTCACACACACACACACATACATACATACGCATACATACATACATACACACACACACACACATACATGCATGCATACATGCATGCATGCATACATACATACATACATACATACATACATACATACATACATACATACATACATACATACATACATACATACATACATACATACATACATACATACATACATACATACATACTACATTAAATGTTATCTTAAATGGAATCCATGTTCCAATATGATACAGAACATGCATACCTTTCCAAATGTTTAAATGTTACCGTAAATGGAATCCACTGTACAGTATGATATATCATGAAATATGTATTGACATTAAGACTAGCAGAGATTCTCCTGGATCCCTTTCGAAAAGTTCTTATAAAACATCGAATGTTAACAGGAAAATAAAAACGAATAGATACCAAAAACGTTTTCTAAGAGACATTAACTATTTCTGTATCAACATGTTTTGCATACCGTGGTGTTTGTATAATTCTGAAATATTTATAATATCTCGATTATAAGAAATAGTTCTTGACGCTGTTCTAGTGGATCTTTCCTCACAATAGCTTCCCTATTGTTTTGAAGGAATTTAAGAAAATGTCAGTATTTACAATATGGTTCCTGTCATCACTGAAATGTCAACGTAATACCACTTTATGTTGGAAGCACATGATACCGTCTACAACGTTATTGGAAAATTTAATTTCTTTCATGTGTAAAGAGAAATTCATCAGATAAAATATCACATGCCAAAGTCATTTTGTCTATATTAGAGATTCCAACATGAGAAATGTACATGAAAATATGATATTTCTTGTCATGTATTCAAGTTTCAGACACTTGCAAGGTATTTGAAAATATGACATTTTGCGTCAATATCAGGTTCCTAGTTTTGGGCAGAAGAAATGTGTTTAACGATATTACATTTTTCATGTCAATCTGAGATGTTTTAGTTCCAGACAGAAGGTATTTGAAAAAATAACTTTTAACGTCAATAGAAGATGTTATTGTTTAATACAAGCAAGGTATTTAAAATTATGACATTTTTCAGGCAATTATAAGATGTTTTAGGTCAGGCAGAAGCAAGGTATTTGAAGTATGACATTTTACATCAATATCAGATATTCTAGCTTTAGGCAGAGCCAAGGTATTTGAAATTATGACATTTACGTTAGTGGCAGCTGTTCTAGGTTTGGACAGAAGCAAGATGTTTGAAGGTGTTTGCAAATTTAACTTTCAACGTCAATATAAGATGTTATTGTTTAAGACAAGAAAGGTATTTAAAAATATGACATTTATCAGGCAATTGCAAGATGTTTTAGGTTTGGGCAGAAGCAAGGTATTTGAAATATGACACTTTACATCAATATCAGATGTTCTAGGTATTTGAAAGTATGACATTTTACGTCAGTATCGACTGTTCAAGTTTAGGCAGAAGCAAGGTATTTGTAAATATGAGATTTTCCATGTCAATATGTTCCTTTGCCTTCCTAGCTGTGGATCGATGCCCTGGACATCCACCTGTTTAGTCTTGGACTATGGGCAGGGATACTCCCAACGCTTGGAACCCACATCCACAACAAGAAGGTCATCATCAACGCGTAAGTGTGGCGTTAACGTCCCTGTGAACCGTTCTTCTACACTCGTGGTACCATGATGGATACATTCCTTCATCTTGTTGCTAATTCTATTGATTCTCCGGTGTTCCATGTCTCTGGCTGACTTGCTTCTAGGATCAAAAGCATGTTTTGCTTTTCAGTTAAACTTTTTAACCAAATCTACGTACGTTTTTGTTGCAGTTCTTTTGGCAGTTACGTAGCTTTTTACAAGACCTGGTGGCTTGTTTCGAAAACATGATACATCTTTTACCAGTTGGTGTTACATCAGGATTCTAATTATCGTATTTGGACAAAAATCATTTTAGGACGAAAGCTTTCCAAAATGGACTTCCTTTTGAGTACTTTCTGAATGTAGAATATGTTTTTGCTATACCTTTACGAACACACATGTAGCAAACATGAAACAGATGGACAACTATTTGTTTGTTCGTTGTTTAACGCCGCACTCGGCAATATTCCAACTGTTTGCTGTTGGTCTGGGACCCGTTTCAGCGCTACGACTAATGTACATCCTATACAGTAACATAGGCTTACGGCAGTATGTACACAATCGAGTCTGGACTACCCAGTGATCAACAGCATGAGCATCGATCTACGCAATTGGGTTACGATGACATGTGTCAATCCGATCCCGTAGGTCGCATCTTACGACGAAGTATGGGTTGCTCAAGACCAATTCTAGCCCGGATCTTCTATTCTGTATGAGCTCTATCTCGTTTTACTTATTCTACTTTCTTGTCCACTATCTGTCATCTATATTTATCTAAATTACCTATGTACATACAAAGGAGAAGGGTATTCTAAGTTGGAGAACATGTTCCTAATCAAAGATATTTTTATGGATTAAACTTCTTTCTTAATTTCTCTCACGACGTTTCGAGACCGTTCCAGGTCCCTTCATCAGAGTTTCTGTGAATCTGAGAAGTTTGAGAGAAATTAAGAAAAATAGTTTGGACATCAATGTACAACTTGTAAATGCCACTGAAAGACATCATGTTCCTAATCCTTTTGAATCCTTAGTGAATAAAATATGTTTAAAACAATCTTCAAAGAGGCCATGAACTACCAACAAAATAGAGGTCATTCGTTCTAATGTTATGAATATATGCAAAAGAACATATCATGGTTTTATATTATTTTTAAAACTCCACTGCAGTGCTTGGGGTATCCTGTTGGCACTCTATTCCGTTGTCCCTCATCTGGTGTTCCTGGCGATAGCCCCTTACATCGATCCTTCTGAGAATTCAAGATGGCTCGCCAACGCTAAGGGTGTCAAACCAGGTAACACTGAATTCTGAAATGACTGTTTGTCCTTTAAGAAAGACAGTATGACCGTTTGATATTGAGCTTATATTTACGGTTCATTTACTATTTCATATTGTTGCATTCAAACATGATTTATTATTAATGGAAAATATCAGCGGAGTAAAGTAGTAGATATAAAGATCTTTGTACGCGTCATTTGATGTTGGTGTGTCTAATTAATCGTATGAGTGTAAAATTTCACTTGATGGTAATTATGAATAAGCAGGGGTGGAAATAACCCATTGCCCGACGTCCGAGTCCAATGGGTTTTTTTCTGTCGGGCAAGCAAATTTGTATATCACACTGTACCGGTGTCCAGTTGACTTTCCAATGTTAATTATGTTGTTTATTTAAAAAATCAACAAGAAAACGGCCGGTTTAGTGGAAAAATTATCAGGGCAAGTGATTTTACATGTGCCACTGTACCAGAGTACACTAACAATCTTAAAGTTATTTCCACCCCTGATAAGCACTTTAATTTTATTGTATCCTGTGACAAAACAGTTTGTTTTGTAATGAGAAAGTGTAGGTTCTTTAAATAAATTAAAATTGTGCCTATGTTATGATACATAATATATATGCAAATCAATAACCGTTGATGCCATGTCCTCTTTGTTTGTAGGTTTGTCGTTCATGTTTGTTACGATTCCTCTCACGTTCGACAAGTTCAGTCTGTCCCCTTTCATCGCGTTTCTGATCTACCTGACGTACTTCCTGCTTGGCCTTCATCACTTGGTAAGTCAATACCAACCCACTTGCTAAGTCAATACCAACCCAGGGTGGTGGGTCAGGCTAGTGGTTAAAGCGTTAGCTCGTCATGTCGAAGACACGGGTTCGATTCCCTACATGGGCACAATGTGTGAAGCCCACAATCATTGTTTATCGCAAAAAGTGTTGATAAAGGTGTCAACCAATTTCCATATTCATACGAAATCTCTACTAAAAGCTGTATCGTTTGTATGATCTCAATTTTTGCATGAGGTGAGGTGAGGTGAAAGTGGGTTTTACGTCGTGCTTGAGAATATTTCGCTCATATGACGACGTGCATGCGTGTGTATGTGTATGTGCGGCTGCTTGTACTAGCCAAGACTGAAGCTGGTTTTATAGTGCTAGCCCACCGAGATACCATGCCGCAGTGAAGCATGAATACCCTACTCAGACACATTATACTGACTCCGAGCCAACCAGTCCTTGTTGTACCCATTAAATCCGAGCGCCAGGCAGGGACCAACAAGTACCATATTTTAACGTCTTTTGGTATGACGTGGTCGGGGATCGAACCCACGACCTTCCGCTCTCCGGGCGGACGCTCTAACAACTGCACCACGGAGGTGGTCAATTTTTGCATGACCATGTGCTTATCACTATGAAATAATGATGGTGCCTGGTGTTAGGGAACGGGTTAGCGTATCCTCCACAGGCTGTCCTTGTCACAGATGTCAATTGATCATCTGACGAAGCACCCGAGCATATAGTGAAAGTAGAGAACTGCATCGGACATCATTTTGGTTACTGATGCGCCACATATGAAAATGTCTCCCATATCTTCTACTTCTTGTTCTTCTACATATCTTCCATAAATAGTTTCAAAAGTTTTACTGTGAACTGGAGAGATGTTACTTTGATGGATCAACTTTAGTGAAAGAGTCGTATGGCGCCCTTTCAAATCTTCGCAGAAAGAGCATGCTTGGCTGTACCTCAAACGTTGATAAATGTAAAAGGCTGGAGCAGCAGAAATACTGCTCAACATGAAGAGAAGGTCATACGGTCTTGTGAAAATGCCTTTAGAATTTGTAGGCATATCTAAATTTGAAGAAGATTAGCTGTACGTGTCTGACAAATCTCCTATCTTTCTAGCTTAGGTTGGTAAATCACTGAAACGGAATTGGCTCTGTGATGGATATCGCACGATATCAGATCATCGCTATACTTGAAGCTTAGTTGACCTTAACACCAAAACATACCTTTTAAATGTACGATACCAGTGGACGTAGTGTTAGTCGTTTCTTGACGTTAGTTTTGTGTGTGGTAGTATCTGTAGAAGCAGATGTCTGTGGAGACGTATTTCCCCCATTGTGTCCTCTGCCACAGGGTCTCCACACTCTGATGATCTGGGAGAACATGCTGCCCTGTATCAACAAGAGGGTCATGATGTTCTTCAAGAGGCCGGACTTCCTTCTTGCCTTGTTCTGCTTCGTGTCCTTCATCCTTACTCTTCCATACACATCACAGGTATGTCCTTACTCTTTCATACACGTCACAGGTATGTCCTTACTCTTCCTTACACGTCACAGGTATGTCCTTACTCTTCCTTACACGTCACAGGTATGTCCTTTCTCTTCCATAAACGTCACAGGTATGTCCTTACTCTTCCTTACGTCAGGTTATGTCCTTACTCGTCACAGGTATGTCCCTTACTCTTCCATACACGTCACAGGTATGTCCCAGGTACTCTACCATACACGTCACAGGTATGTCCTTTCTCTTCCATACACGTCACAGGTATGTCCTTACTCTTCCATACACGTCACAGGTATGTCCTTACTCTTCCATACACGTCACAGGTATGTCCTTACTCTTCCATACACGTCACAGGTATGTCCTTACTCTTCCATACACGTCACAGGTATGTCTTCCTTACTCTTCCATACACGTCACAGGTATGTCCTTCCTTACACGTCACAGGTTTGTCTTCTTCCATACACGTCACAGGTATGTCCTGACTCTTCCTTACGTCACACGTCCACAGGTATGTCCTTAGGTATGTCCTTACTCTTCCATACACGTCACATCTGGGTTTGTCCTTACTCTTCCTTACACGTCACAGGTATGTCCTCACTCTTCCTTACACGTCACAGGTATGTCCTTACTCTTCCATACACGTCACAGGTATGTCCTTACTCTTCCATACACGTCACAGGTATGTCCTGACTCTTCCATACACGTCACAGGTATGTCCTTACTCTTCCATACACGTCACAGGTATGTCCTTACTCTTCCATACACGTCACAGGTATGTCCTTACTCTTCCATACACGTCACAGGTATGTCCTGACTCTTCCATACACGTCACAGGTATGTCCTTACTCTTCCATACACGTCACAGGTATGTCCTTACTCTACCATACACGTCACAGGTATGTCCTTACTCTTCCTACATACATCTCACCTTTTTAATGGAATAATACGATATGATGTCATATTTTCCATTATCGGGACAATTACAACTGTCTTGTTAAAATGCGGTTAAAATTGATCTTCAACATCCCTTGCTTGTCGTAAGAATCGATTAACGGGATCGGGTGGTCAGGCCGCCGCCATATAGCTGCAATATTGTTGAGTGCGGTGTTAAACAACAAACAAACACAATTCATAAATTGTCATCGTTGGGTTGAACCCTCCGAAAAATGACATAATCTTATCTGCTGCAGTGAGACACAAACGTTCCGCTTCCAAATAGCATTTTATTTCAAAGCAAGAAGCCGCATGTACGGCGTCCTTTGGGAATGTAAGGTCCTTCCTAAGTTTCTTCCGTTGAAAGCGGAAGTCTCAATATGTCTCCGAGTGAAGGTTGATGTGCGTGTCGACACAAGACACAATCTGTTGTGTATCAGAGGAAGGGTTGTCTGTTTGATCTGTGTGATACCAACCAGGATATAATGTGTTTGATGTTTCAATATACCGCCAGACTCTGATGTGTTTGTCATCTGTGTTCACAGTGTGGCATCTACCTGTATATGATCATCCGGTTCTACATGGACCGTCTTCTGTTTGCTCTCGTCATCTTCAGCATGGTTCCCTTCATCATCGGCTACAGTGAGTACACGCAGTCATACACACATCATCATCATCATCATCATCATCATCATCATACCACCCGTGAAGATCCGGGTTAGAATTGATCTTCAGTATCTCATGCTTGTCGTAAGAGGCGACTAACGGGATCGGGTGGTCAGGCTCGCTAACTTGGTTGACAGATGTCATCGTATCCTAGTTGTGAATATTGATGCTCATGCTCGTAGATTACTGTTCTGGTCCAGATTCGATTATTTACAGACCGCCGCCATATAGCTGGAATGTTGCTGAGTGCGGCGTAAAACTAAACTCACTCACTCACACGCAATCATACACACAGATAGTCACTTTCGATTCGTAACAAGCAGGAGTATTATGGGCTTCAGCGAAGGGACCAACAGCTCTCTCACACAGTTTCTTTGATTGAATAAAATCAAGTGATTCAACGACAAAACAGCAGTGTCTCCAAGCTGATAGAAACGTTTTTAATGGAAAGTTTAAATTCATATATTCCGTTTTGTGTTTCAGTCCGCCAGGAGACATTACGACTGCCGATAGAGCGTCTGTCTATGAGCCTGTGGTATGGACTCGCCTCCCTGGTGGCCGCGGTAGGTGACCAGTTGCCAGCGAAGCCCCAACTTCCGGTCATCAGTTTTAAGTCATTTTACGTTTTTTAGCTCAGAACAGAATAGAGCTTTATTTCGCCTTAGTTTGGTCCACTGTTGGCAGACAGACAAATTAGTTCGGTCACATTCACATGAATATGTGTCTTGTGGGTCTAAAATAGTGTTTGGTTCATCCCTAGATAAGTTTAATATCTGGAAGCGCCTATATACAAACCGTCCCCAACAAAAACGCCGCCGTTACCCAATGGAACCATTACTTCCTTCTGAAAAAGAATGATGAAATACATGCCACATTTTATTGAAGCCTGGAATCCTGAGAAAAACGTCATTTGTGAAAATGTCCACTATCTCTTCTGTTTATGAATCAGAAAGGTACATTTATGCACCCTAGAAGATTCGGGTAATAATTGGTCTCCAACAACCCATGCTTGTCGTAAGAGGCGACTAACGGGATCTGGTGGATCTGGTGATTGGTTGATGCATGTCATCGTAACCCCATTGCGTTGATCGATACTCATAATGTCAATCACTTGATTGTCTGGTCTACACTCCATTATTTACAGACAGCCGTAAATATTGCTGAGTGAGGCGTTAAACAATAAACAAACAAAAAAACACATGTGCCTCTGATAAATGTGAAAAACGGGTTTTTTCTGGATCCCGTTTCACATACCGATCGTAGCGCTTCTACTGTCGTCAGTCTATGTTATCGTAAGGGAGTAACGGTCATCTTAGAGCTGCGGTAGCTCTGGCGAACGGAACTGTTGTGTCAAGTGCCACTTTCATCATACGTCTAGACGTGTATTTATTGCCTTCTGTACAATTAGGACATTCTAATGTAGTTATAGTGTTCCGTTATAGAACGTGGATCCTACAAATTGAGTTAAGAGTCGCGTGTAGTGATGTTTCAGCTGAGTAAGCACCAATAAGACTATTGCCAGTTGACCATTCCCTTAACGATTCATGGAGAAAATGCCATGCATGTTTTTTTTATCGTGGTACTTGTAATAATATGTCTTTACATTTCTACCCACCGTTTATGAGCATGTTATTCCTTACACTGTATGCACCTAAAGCTACAAACACACTGTTGAATTCATACATTTCGTACGCATACTTAAATTCAGTTCAGTGGCATATTTCATTTTGTACGATGCATATAGCTCGGTGATTTTAATATTTGCTTATCTTGATTAATTGCGCAGTACATAATATATATATTTTAAAATTATAAATATCAAATATTTTATATTTAATTTTGTATTATTTATTTCTAAAACAATTTTATGTCTTGAAGCAGCTACCAAAATGTACATTTGACGAACAAACAAGTGTTTCTCTTCAGCCTCAATACACATGCTAAGTGTTCTGTACTCTCCACAGTGCCTGCTGATCTACTACTTCGCTGTGTACGTCTACCAGGAGTCGGTAGTGAGCGTTGAACAGCGCTGGGCGGAGTATCTGGGGTGGCTGGCCTCCATCTCGCCGATAATCTTTGGAGTGATACTCGGAGCGGCACACGCCGTGTGGAAGGAGACTGGGTCATTGAAGGGGGTAACTAGCGTTCTATATTACACTTTTTCTGATTGGTTAAACAGATGACACAGCATTTCTGATTGGGTTCAAATATAATATAAGCTTTGACCTTTGTGTTTGTTTCATGCACGGCGTTTCTGATTGGTTAAACATATGACACTGCGTTTCTGATTGGTTCAAATATAACGGGTGAAATTGTTTTTTGTTTCATGATAAAGCTTTTCTGATTGGTTCAAATATGATAAAATGGGTTTTCTTTGTTTTTGTTTTATTTTTCCTGATACAGTGTTAGTTGTTGGTTATATAACGGAAGGGAGGTAACTCATTTTAGACGTGACCTTTATGGCTGGTGGTATATGTCTGTGTTCGCGGTTCATCTCGAATGGTCTGTCCTGTATGGAGTCCATAATCCCTGAAGAATTAAATCATTGTAGACGGGAAATACTGACTGAAGAATGACTTTCGTTAACAAGGAAAGTTGAAATTTATCCCAGATCGCTTACCTACCTTGTGTGGTATTTTAAACTCTGGCCAGATAATCGAGGCTGATTATTCCCGTGAACGTCAACTAATATGAATGCGCCGCGTTATTAATGACTTAATTATTTATCAACATCATGAAAGGGATGCGACAAAGTATTAATTCTTATTAACAAAGCTTATAAGAGCTGTCCTAAAAAGCTGCTGATCAATTTAACTATCTGATAAACCCATAATAATTCCTTTGCTTCATGTTCCAGCGGTTCCTGCAAGCCCTGCGGACGGGTCAGCTGCCCGACGACGTCATGGACGACGAGTACACGTCGGTCGAAACCGGGGACACGTCAATGCCCCAGGCGAAGTCGCCATTACCAAGCGAGCACCAACCGCACGAGCGCCCAGTGATGGTCTCAAATGAGTTGGTGCAACCAAAGTCAGAGGTCGAGGTCAGCATTAAGCCGCCGGAATATGGCGACGTTGTCCGAGTGTGAAAGGGCGGAAATTACGAAATATTACCAAAGAGAGGCTCACACAAAGACTATCACAAACAGAGGAGATGCATCAAGTGCTGATTGATATTAACCAATATTTACCATGTTGATAATGAACTCTCTTTTTTAATTAAAAAAGGTTTGCATCACAAAGTAACGTCAATGGAAATCGGACATTGTAACTTGCTCTGAAACCAACTGAATCAGCACATTGATATATACGGAAATGTTTCGGTTGTTTTCGCATTTAAATGAAAACAATGTGCATGATTATACGTCAACATCTTACATCAGAAGATATTTCAAGGTAGAAGGTCTGTATTTACACAATACCTATGTCGACGCAAAGGTGTTGGAAATTAAATGAAATCCCAACACAGCGGTGGCTAAAATAGATTCTCTGCATATTATGCCTCCAGAATCTGTGTAACTCTATAAAGCATGACGCAACGCATACACTACCGAAATCACTCTACGTCATATACCAACTGCATCCCGTGGTTTGGTACATCTGATTATAGGATGTTGACGATGGGAATAGACCATTAAGAGGCCTCACACAATTTACTTGGTTAACGAGATAGACCGACAAGGAAACCTGATATAAAAACATATACAACTTGATTTTGTCAAAACAATTTTCGGTCGATTATCTTTGAAATGGAAAAAAAAAATTCCGAGATTTGATTACCGCTGTTAGAAATTCTGAATAATATATCATAATTTCGACAACATTCCCAGTCAACTTGCTGTCGATGTTCCAAAAATACATTCCATGGTGGTATGACCTCCGAGTATAGTTTTCCTACATTAGTAGCAGTGCCGATCTGACAAATTATTGTTTTTTCGACCTTCTACTTTGGCCTTTGAGCAAAATTGCGTTAACCAACCAATAGAATATGTAAGGCCTAATGGTTATTTTTTATCAACATGTTGCCGAGAAAGGTTGGGTGTTTGAAGGATCGTTCACTAATAAATGGTCTGGAAGGAATAAGAACGAACAGGATTGCTCATTTTATGGTTTGTTGCCAATTGTCTCAGACACAGTGCTTATCGTGGTAAACCGTCGCCTTCAAGTGTATCAAGTATGTAAATGATATTCCATATGTATATTGTAACATCTCGGCGTGTTTGTGTACGTGAAACTACACTAAGAGCATAACATCAAAATACCCTGGTGTTGTTCCTAAAACACCATCTGAACACTATGTGCACAATCATATACAAATGCATGTTGGGATTATTATATGTTTTCTGATTGTTGTGCGGGTCGAGTTGACACGATACGGTGCATCATTCTGTTCGATTGGGATTTGTTCTATGGAAATATGCTTAACTCGTTCATATACTCATGCCAATAATGGTTGTCACCCCCTTCAATTTTTTTTGGAGAGGGGGTGTGGGGTGAGGTTGGGGTGCGGAGGGGGGTGACAACCATTATTGGCATGAGTTTATTACACGGAACTTTTTAATGACAAATTGTAAACTCGGTTTACATTTGCAATAGCATTCTTGGATTGTGTCAGCTCGACTTTCGCATTAGCCCTGATATTGTAAGATTAAATTAAAATATTCTCATGTTGGTGTGTTTTTCCCGTTAGATTTCGATTAGATTTGCACGAATTTGGCACATGAAGACATCAATGAGACATATTCCTGAAACAAGATACATTTTCCTGATTAAACTCAGCTTGCTTCCATAATCCTATCAAACATCTCGCTCATTAACTCATTACTATTTCGTCATTCACAATCATTCATTTGAATATACATGTATTAACATCCATACCAGACCAGTTGCCATTTGGAGGCGTTCTTAATGTATGATATATTGTGTGACGTACACAAAAACATCTTTAAAAACTTGTTTTAATCAGTTTGTAACAGCTGAAATCTACGGATAAGTTACCATTCGATAAGTTACCTCAAATATTTCCAAATACATCGATTTGATAATTGTAGAGTTTGTTACCCTATACTCAAATTAAATTGCTCACTTATTTTCCCATGATGATCTATCGTTGAATAATATCTGTAAAATATGATTATTAATTACCACTCGAAAAACAGGAGAGAAATGTTGAGCCATTGGTGAATGGGAAAATACCAACTGCAATAACATCAGATTGACATGGCGGAATCTCGTTGATCATGAATTGCAGTGGTAAAATGATCCAGGTTGTAACAGGCAATATTTGGTTGATCCGGGTCTGAGGTATTACTGTTCTGAATAACCGGATCTGACTTGTTAAATAACCTCAGTATGATAGTTAAAATGGCATTCCAATAATGACATTCAACATTTCAATTACATCATCTCGCCTTACGTCACTATGACGTCATCATATACGTCATAATCACCTGTGACTTTTGTATATTTGTAAATATTGCTTTATTCATGTCATTATTTTATGATCCGAGGACCAATGCAATTTCTTGTCGTTCTTTGAAATCCTAGATAGTTAGCGCACAGGTATTGACATGTTCAATTCTACAGCTGCATATGTTAAAATTGTGTGGAACACATATCATTCAAATAGTCTTTTGATGTAGTCGTCGAGCTCTGATAAAGAGGCTAGAGAAGGTCATTTTATGTGAATGTTTTAATCCGTCAATGATCGTGAAAGCTTATAAATACACCATTGCGCTAAACATTCTGAGAAGCATATCTGATTTTTGTGTCTCAAAACCTGATGTGAACGGGCAGTTCTGAATGGAGAAAAATATATGAAATTTTCCAAGTCCTGATATGTGCACGCAAGAGGATGCACTGTTGTGGTTTGTGAGTCTCTTTCATTTGCTCAAAACTGAAATTGTATATAACGGGTTCTCCTGACATAATATAGTGAAGCAGTTTGAGAAAGCCCATGTCAGATTGGCTCAAAAAGTTCGTTTAGTATGGAGGACTTTGATGGTGGATCGAACTGAAATAATATAATGAAAGTGATGTTCATGTGGACTGGTTAATATAGTGTACATAATTAGTAATCTAAGTACATCCCGGTTCCTCATTCACCAAGTTAACCATACACATGATATCGACGATCCTGAACAAGGAGTACAGCAAGGGCGTTGGTTATGTCGCATTTTCTTTCAGTATTTTACTTATATTTCATGAATGTACCTTTCGCGGCTAAGAAAAATCTTACAATTATATGATTGTCTGAAAAGACACTGCCGGTGTCGTACACAAATGCAGCTGTAAAATTGTTCTGAAATAAATTTCATGAAACATGCACTTTGATCACAACTTGTTAAGATATCACGTGTAAGTTGCAATGCTGTTGTTGACGTAGAATGCTTTTCTGCACCATTGCGACCATTCAATAGCTCAGCATAGATCATGTATATTTATACATATATCAACAATATCCAGCGTGTCGTGTAGTAGTACAAAAGTGTTTGAATAGTCGTGTATTAACGCCAAAACATATATATCATGTGGTACTATCTTCTGACTGTTCAAACTATCGTGCATAAATCTTTTTAGAATATTTCAAGATTTTTAGAATGTGACCTTATGATACCATTTCTGTATTATTCTGTATATAATCAACATTGTGTTTGATTCAGATAAGGACATAACTTCACACTATGGTTTAATTTTTGTAACATTTAATATTATTAAAACTTCGATTCGCATGTATAAGAGTTATTTGGGGAATTTAAGACATTTTCATTACAGCATTAGGTTACGAGATTTGTTTGTTGAGTTCAGTAATAGTTCAATCGTGGATTGTACTGATCTTTATCATCCTTTGCCGAAGTTTCATATGTGTCATTTTTGTCAAGCTTTACAAATAAACTTATACTCATGTGACATTTTCTGTTCTTGATCACAATCAGTATTTATCGACGTGCATGATGGGTCAGTATGTGAGGGTTCATTCGTCACACCAATTCACAATTGTGTACTTTCTGAATGTCCGATTTCCTCTACTGCCACAATACGTGACGCCTATTCCCAGCTGTCTTATACCACCGTTGCAACGAGTTTGCCACCCCACTGCGACCGATTTTTGCCCCTCTGTCGCATTCACGATTTACCTCACTCGCACTCGCTCGCCATCAGTCGCAGAGGGTTCTGCGAGTGTATGAAACGGTTCCATACACTCGCACAACTTTTGCGACCGATGGCTCACTCGCTATTTCGGTCGCAGTGTCCTCGCATCGGTCACACTGGGGTCCTGGCGCGGTCGCATACCGGTTGCATGAACTCGCAACGTGATTGCGCTCACTCGTACTGCATTTGTGCGATTCTTTCACTTGCGACCAAATAGCGCGATCAGTGGCGAGCGCGCCAAGACCCCAGTGCGAGCACTGTGTATTACACTGATTTCAATGCGACCAATCACGACCGTTCTTGCGACTAATTAGCAACCATACTCGTACCCCGAGTGATTTGGAGCTATGAAACCCACTGGCAGCGGTCTTGAACTTGAAATCATCATCATCTTTAGTCAGTTGTAGAATTGCTCGCCACCCGACAACACCGAAGACTGCTGCCGTTATGGTACCATATGCTGAACTGATGTCCTGCTGGCCCTGTAGCTGTAGGCCATGCTTGCATACTGGTCACCGGTGGCTAGGTGTCTTAATGTCAGTGCGAGTTTCAACCCTGCTTCCAAATAGGGTCTGTAATTGGTGCCTTCTTCTGTTATCATGGGCACTACTCTTTCTAGAATTTCGTCAAAGAGTTCGACTGGCATCCTCATGTAGTTCTTGAACTGAATTGGATTCTCTTCTTCAACTTCTGGACAAGATGGTAGTACTGGCAGTGGTCTTGTTTCTCCGAAGGGGAAAGCCACTCTCGTACCCAAACTTCACGCCATCGATGCCTTCTTCTCCTTCGCTGAATGTGTCTAACCATGGCCAAGGTGCAATTACCAATATTCTGTATTTGTTGGTGGGTTTCACAGCAAGGCAAATACCAGGGTCATTTCAGTGTCCATCTTCTCTAGGTGTTTTCAGTCTGCTGTTCAGGCTCAGAATGACACGATCTCTGTCGGTCGCGCTGTTTTTAAACTTTATTTGATGACCGATCGCGAATAAGTCTTGAGGTCGATGCGATCTTACAAACAGTCGCCATGGTCGTACTAAAGTCTCACAGAACTCACATAAACTCGCATTGGTCGCAATACGGTCGTACACGATCGCACGAACAGTCGCACTGGTCGCAAGCAATCGCAGGTCGGTCGCAAGTCAGTCGCAGAATCTGTCGCGTTGGTCTCAACCCAGTCGTGGCTGCTCGCAGGGAAAATCGCCAATACTGTCGTACCACAGTATGACCATATTGCGACGACTATACGACCGATCGTATCGCTCTCAACTCGGTCTCAACTCGCTCGCTCAAAAAATTACCAGTGAACACTTTTTGGTCGTAGTGGGATCGCACAGCTGGCCTGGTGTAACCGGAAAGCCAAAATCGTAGTGTGGATCGCACAGCAGTGGCCTGGTGTAACCGGAAAGTCAAAATGTGTCAAAATTCGGTCGCAGTAAAAATCGAGTCTGCGACCAAGGCTGCGATCGAACTGGTCTATGGCATGTGATCGCGCTCTGGTCAGGCGTACAAACATTATTTGCTGGTCGATTCTCACGGGCTTGGTGGAACTTAGGGGCCTAATCCCGGGAAGGCTAAAATGTATATTTCGGATTTCCCGGGAGAGCTTTCCAAGGGAGTAGGGGAGTACCGCCAAAGCTAAAGATACGGTGCCGGGAAGCATAATCCATGTCGGGAGTAGATAGATTTCTTTTCAAAACATTATTATAGTATTCGATTCATTTATTACCGTTATCTGTACACTAATATATGTACACTTATAATATTTTTAGAAATTGCACATTTCCATGAGTTGGACAGCTCACTAAAGATAAACTGAATAGCCTGGTAATTTTTTCTTTGTTTATAACTATCTTTGCTGGAAGAGTAGTCACATATGTTACATAAAGTACAGCACAGGTGGACCCGTATTAACATCTTTAAATGTTTATGCTCTTTAATAATGGCAGTTAAAATGTCCTCAAAGACATCCATTGTACTTGAAGGTTAGACCGGTCAACGTGAAGTCAGGGATGAAGTTTCATGTCGTCAATCAGTGATCTGTCATCACGTGTCATGGATAGCATAACATGGCATGTCATGCTGATCTGGTGCCATGATTTATGTTGACATATCAATACCGTGGCAACAAGGGAATTAACTATATTGCATTACAGATACCTTTTTGGTCATCATTTAAATAAATAAGCAAACAATTCACCCTACAATAATATATTTATTTGGCAGTGATAAAAGGGAACGGCATACCAGTACACAGGTCAACCTTGACCTTAATCTTAACCATCTCTGTGTCTCTTTCTACTTCATACACCATTACTGGAAGGTCTGTCCTTGTACAGATGTATAAACTACATTCTACATGTCAAGTACTGGAAGACAGGGGTATATGACTGGAGTAAGTGCTGTCAAAGATTTTTTTTTTCCATTTGAGGACATTTAAACTCCGGCAACGAATAGATTCGAGTTGTTTAAAACAACAACAAATAAATGAATTTAGAATAAAGCAGAAAGGGGTTAATACTGTTGTTTTCCCAAAATATTGTTCACGAGGAATGATTTCCACCATTTTGGTTACATCATCGTAAGAACACCTTACCAATGTGTTGCCCAATACATATGTCTATATGTCGCATTTCTAATAGTGTCATGGTTATATTTTCTTTCAATTCAACACATTGTTTAGTTTTTTAAAAAGGGATAGTGAAAAAAATGGCCATTCGGGAAAACGGATATCTCAAACAAATGCTGACAAAAATATATATTCCACACACAGCGAGATGTTCATGGATGTCTACATGGCCATCCATGAGATACCAAAGAAAAGGGTTTATGGCTTATTCTATACAACAACCATGAAACATGCCATTAGTGAGATACAAAAAAAGAGAAATCTTATTATGCACACAACATTTCTTTGTAAATTGCAATACTGATAACAACCATTAAAAAGAACATGTTTCCTTTGGAAGACAACAAACACACTTTGCAGTTGAGTTGATTGAAATCTGTAACAATGGAATGCATACACCTGCTGAAGATCATGGACGACCTTCTTATCCTGACTCCAAAGGGAAGCAACTCTTCAATGAAAATTACAAACTGTACAAAAGGATAATGTAAAGAATGACGATTGATTAAAACGATTTGACTATTGAAAAATAGCTTGAGGTTATTTGTTGTTGAACATACTTCAGTATGAATGTGCCTGTGCACCAAAACATGTTATGACACAGATGAATATTTTAAAAGCATCGCAGTGAAACAAATATTTATATAATATATACTCCAAGAAAGTATGAAGTGATTTAGGGTGTAAACGCACACTGCAGTGCAGTAAGGGAGAGAGTATGGAATTGATGGTGTCGGGGTAAAACACATGATATAAAGGTGACGTTATCAAACAACGCTTTGCAATCTAAATATATATAACCAAAGATAACGAAGCTTACCTTGTATGCACAATTTTAAAATGCAGTGTGATTTTATTATATCATGCTTAATGATTAATTAAAACATACAGGTAAGAATTGTTATGTTTGTAACATGCTCAAAAGGTTTAACTTCTTTGAAAGGGACATTAATATGCATGTAATTATATTTTTATCAGTCTTCAGATAACCAGATAGACTGTAGTCTTGACAACCACTTTCCATAACCTACTGAAATCCTTGCCATTTTACAAAAAGGCTGTCATTCATATCGTCCATAAATTTCAACGCAGATGTTAAAGTCTCAAGTGAAAAAACGATTTAAGATTCAAATTAAACCATAGTCAAACAGTGAACAACGTATTCTGAAAGAGTGATTATGGTTGTGAAAAGGCGATAAACGGGATCGGATGCTTAGACTCGATGACTGTGTGATGTCAACGACATGACATGTTCATGATGTCAAGAAAGCTATGGCTCCTTTCAAGGGTCATTTCGAGAACATCATGGTAACAAAGTATATATAGGCTGATTTCCCTTTGAACAGCTGATTACTGACAGACAAGGGTTGCAGTGAGTCTAGTTCCAGCGTCTTTTACAAAATGGAAGATAGCGTGTCCTGCGTCACGTGATTGGCAACAGTTAGAATCTCGGGATGTCTCGCGGGATGTAGGCTATTGACAAGTAGCTAAAAGCTGAGTAACTGTACGTTTGATCTTGTGACGACTCCGCACTGCGGGAATGAAATCAATTTTAATACAATCAATGTGTGTCGAGAAATTTTACCATCTCAAATATGAATACAAAGTGAGTAAAACTGACTTTGCTATGAGATAATGAAAGGAAAAAACATCGCGATATTCATTTCATAAACGAATGATGTACATTGTTTAAAATACAGATACAAAATAAAACAAACATCTGCAATAAAACTCACTTTACAAAAATACATGATTATCAACCTCGTCTTTAAACTACAAACATATACAATTCAAAACCTAAATCAAAAAGTAAAAAGTAAATTTTCAAAACGAAAACAAGATCAATGCATTTCGATAAATGCCATATCAAAATATGTTGATTACTTTCAGCTCAAAATTTCAGTTGTGAAATTTCATGCTTAAGGAATTATGCTCTTTTAACATGAAAACAATGTTATGTCGTAAAATGTTTGTTGACTTAAACAAGTAAGGTGAGGTTACAATGTTGACTGCTAATATACATCCATATAATTTCAGTTCCTCGATTCTTACTAGGTCAAATGCATTCAGGCCATTAGAATTGAACCGATTTGCTAAAAATGTGTTGAACACATGCGGTAGACCTTATTTGTTCCTACAGAATGCAGTCAAACACCCCTGTGTCGAAGTTGAAGGGACCTAGGCACATACTTCGAGTTATCAGAGATTCGATACAGCCACAAAACGACCAAATATGGAATATGGACCAAGTTGTTACTCCGAGACAACATGTTCGTCACATCAAAGTATTACATGACAAACAGAAACATACCGATGGGTCAAAGACACGGAACAAGAACAAGAAACGTGCTCTGAAGTCGATAAGAGTATCATCGAAAGAAATGACATCGTTAATATGAAGTACATGTAATAAGAACATCAACTCTTCCAGTGCATGTTCCCCTACTTCTGCTCATCAGTATATCTAAATCGAAAAAATGTAAAGTTTACAAAAATAGCTTTCAAATATAACCATGTATTTGTAATGGACTCCAGGTTTTAAACAATCATAATGGCGTCACGCCATCTTATAAATGGACTCCAGGGTCTAGATTTTCGAAGCTCTCTTAGTACTAAGACAGTCGTAAGTTAATGTTAATGTATGGCACTTACGACTATCTTAGCGCTAAGAGAGCTTCGAAAATCTAGGCCCAGGTTTTAAACAATCATAATGGCGTCATGCCATCACACAAAAATCGATCGAATCTGTTCAATCGTGACCCGTTGAGTTTACTTCTGAAATCAAAGGATTCTCATGAGGTCTCATTAAATCGATGCCTCCTCATGATTTCGAGATTTGATTCTATCCTACGGCAGTGTAATATCTGTACGGTGACCTTGACCTTGGTCCTGTTTCAAGGGCAGATCACTCACTGCTGTACGTCTTGTAGTTGTCGTCCTGGTAGGCTGGGTTCTTCAGGCAGAGTTGATCCCAGTCTGGCCAGCAGAGGTCCTTCATCCGCTCACAGTAGCCTTCAATATTGTGCAGGCGATCTGTGTGGACAGAAACGGAAACGAATCCACTGTAGTAGCTATTCCTTTAAACGACTGACCTTTCAACCTCGCGATCGACTAAATGTCGTGAGCAGACATTTAATTCTCTGACACAGTTACGCTTAATTCCCAGTCTGGACCGTAAGTTAGACAGCGCTGCTTCTGCCATACTTTAAGATAAACCTTCGACATTTTACACTAACATTTTGGCTCTGAAAAGTGAAATATCTGAAATTTACTGTTTTGTTTTTTAAATGTTTAATATATCGTGGAATAAAGCCTATTTTCAGCATGAAACTGAAAACATATACAGTCAAAAACCGCTGTGTCGAAGTTAAAGGGCCAAAAGTTAATACTTCGAGTTATCCGCAGTTCCACACAACCGCAAAGTGATGACTTAATAAGGAATACGGAAGGACAAACTATTTACTTCGAGACAAGTGAAAGTTAAACACATCGTCGTTGGACAGTACAGTGTTAGACTGTAGTTTACTAAAGAAATATAGACATGCTTTGAGAGTTTTTGCCTGCATTGTTTGTTTAAGGGTCTGTATGGGAGACTGTTGAAAGTCGTACAATTTTAAACACACGGCAGAGGAGCGAAGAAATTCTCGCGAGAGGAATTTACGTTTCGTTCATTCAGGTTTCAGAATGTCGGATTCTATGCATAATTTCAGCAGTTTTAGCTCATGCTTTGGTCCATCTTTATACAGCAGTAAATATATGCTTAGTTAAATAACTGATGGGGGATCTAAGGGACTAGCCTCTAGGGTTGTCTCAATTCGGTCCAGGACTAGACGCCTTAATAAGAATAGAATAGATAAGAAATTAAAAAGTGGGTGACAAAGATAAATGATTTCGGGTAATGAAACAGCAGTAATATATCAACTGAATTCGTTTTCGTGGTCCCATCCCTCAAACAAAGACATATACAACCCATTTCCATGTTTTGTCCGTTGATGATGGAGAGATGATAATTGCCCCACAATGAAGCACAAGTAACACATAGAGTCTCGCTTGAGGCAAATGACTTTGTTCACAGAATTAGTCTTCAGCAGCCCATGCTTGGAAGAGGTTACTAACGGGATCGGGTGGTCAGGCACGCTGACTTGGCTGACACATGTTATCGTATCCCAATTGCGTAGATCAATACTAACGATTGTCCAGACATTATTTACAGACCGCCGCCATATAGCTGGAATATTCCTGAGTACGGCGTTAAACAACAAACACACAATCAAATCCAGCGGCGTGCTGAATATTTTGGGTAACAGTTATCTGAAAACATGTCAACCTGCATTCTCCTCCCACAGAGGTTACTTGTCATATCTTCCTACGAACCTCTGTTCTAATACGGCCCTTTCATGGTGCGAGTGTTCAGGATTCGTGATTGGTTGCAATCAGATTTAGTTGTGCAATCAGCGACGTTCTTTCAAAAGTGATCATTCGCAAGGCCTCGGTTATTTCCGTATGCTTCGGGAAAACTAGAACCTCTTTCCCTGCGCGATGCGCAAACGTTTCTTATCGACAGAACTCAGTCATGTAAATGGCGGATCAATGGCGTCTCCATCGCCCTCGTTGACAACGGACAAGCTAGCCATTAAATATTTTGTGTGTCACATCAACACAAGTTCCTAACAGAGGAGGGATATTTGTGACCCAACATTTGCTTGTATTAGTCAAGTTGATGTAACACGTGTTCTGATTGGACAGAAAGAAGGGAGATAATTCGTGTTGCGATTTTTTTGCCGCTAGGGGATTTTACGAGAACCGGGAAATATGACCGTATTAGAACAGAGGTTCGTAGGAAGAAATGACAAGTAACCTCTGTGGGAAGAGAATGGTCAACCTGATGTGGGAGGAATGAACAGAAGACATGACGCTTTTATAGGCAACAACTGTTTTCATTGTTTGTACCATCATTTGAGGGTTGTCTCTTGTCCTTTCAAAAATGATGGATGATTCGCCTGAAGGGACGAGAAGTAGCCCTGAAGCGTCGTACAAACCAAAAAGAAGTTGTTATCCATAAAAGTGTCGTGTCTTCACATAAGGTCTGTTTTTGTTCACTTTGTGTAGTGGGCGGTGGGCAGTCTACTTTTTTTTCTCAAAGTCCCGACTTGGGGCTACCTCCCTCCCTCCCTCATGAGTGAGTGAGTGCTATTTTACGCCGCCTAAAGCAGATTCCAGCAATATCACGACGGAGAACACCTTCGAGTTAACGTTCTAACGTTCTAACCACTCAGCTACCCAATCATGTTTTTTAAAGAAAAGGTCAGCACATGCACTTCAAAAACTTCAACTGTCATGACGTTGAGTGAGTGAGTGGGTGAGTGAGTTTAGTTTTACGCCACACTCAGAAATAGTCCAACTATATGGCGGCGGTCTGTAAATAATCGAGTCTGGACCAGACAATCCAGTGATCAACAGCATCAGCATTGATCTGCGCAACTGGGAACCGATGACATGTGTCAACCCAGTCAGCGAGCCTGACCACCCGATCCCGTTAGTCGCCTCTTACGACAAGCATGGGTTACTGAAGGCTCATTCTAACCAGGACCTTCACGGGCATCATGGCTTTGAACCACCATAGCAACTTGCCACCTACCGTGCGCGAATTTTTCATGGCGGGTTCTGGGCATATGCCAGAGTACTTGAGCTAGCATCCCAAACATGGCGCAGTCTATTTGGCTGGGGCGGTCTCCCATGAAGAACTTTTTGTCACCTGAAAAGATATAGATGTGTTTTAGACTACTCCAATAGTTGATAACTCAAGTTCCTATGCCGTCGTATAGTTTTACGCAGCTTTTTGCAGCATGACGAGCGCAAGTTTTAACCATTAGGCTACCCCACTGCCCCGGGGAGTACATGAAATGGGCTTCACAGATGTGGGGGATCGAACCCGTGCCTTCAGCGAGACGAGCGCAAGTTTTAACCATTAGGCTACCCCACTGCCCCGGGGAGTACATGAAATGGGCTTCACAGATGTGGGGGATCGAACCCGTGCCTTCAGCGTGACGAGCAGACACCTTAAACATTAGGCTACCCCACCGCAACGATCCTAAGGAAAACATGAAGCGAAACCAAAAGGCTGGAAGTCTTAAATAAACACGTGACGTTAAGAGGAATCAAACTAATCCCCTTCCTTCACAGCAGTATTAGAGCTCACAAGTGTATTACGTAGGCAATAAATAGAACGATTTTTGAAGTTCGCTTGTGAGATCAGCAGGGCTTTGAATGACCGATCGACGTTCACCTTTAAACTACGTGTTGAATTCAGTTAGTCATATGATGACTCTTCTGTTCCATCAGGGGGCGGTGAGGTAGCCTAGTGGTTAAAGCGTTCGCTCGTCACGCCGAAGACCCGGGTTCGATTCCCCACGTGGGTACAATGTGTAAAGCCCATTTCTGGTGTTCCCCGCCGTGATATTGCTGGAATATTGCTAAAAGCGGCGTAAAACTAAACTCACTCACTCACTGTTCCATCAGCTAACATGAAAACACTGTAAATGTTCTTTTTATCTGTCACAAGAACATGTTAAAAACAAAATTGACGAAACTAAGCAAACGAATTCGAGCAAAGATACAGACAAGTGTTCGCCAAATCAGTGAGGGTCCCTCCCATCATGAGCAAAGGTCAAGGTCAAGGTCATAGATAATTGCAATCCACTCCATTTTAAGTGCCATGAAAGCAACAGTCAGGCTCGCTGTCTTGGCTGACAATGTCATCCTGTCCCAGTTGCATAGATGGACAAACAAACAGAATGAAGTTACATACCTAGAAATGTGGATATGGCTTGAAGATCAGCCTTCCCGATGGTCCAAATCTCTTCGTCGCTATGACGACCGATGCCCTGGTAGTAGAGTTCCTTCTTGATGATGCGGGTGAACATGGTGGTGAAGGCCCATAGCTTGAAGCCCCGATACTGGGGCATCACCTCCGCGATACGGGTCTTGTCGGGGACGGCAAACATCTCGTAGCACATGGACCTGCAACAGTGAGGGGTTAACGCCCATGTATATGTTACATTAAAGGTAGCTATCGAGTGTTCATTCTAAGCGCGGGCTTACCAGAAAACGAGTCTGACATATTGTGTAGTGACAGTTGGGCTTTAAATGAATGAAGAATGAGTGAATGAATGAGTTTTTGTTTTTCGATTTTCATTAATTTTTTTATTTATTTTTTTAAAAAAAACAAGTGTTTTATTATAATAACGTAAAAAGCGATTGTTTTTTTTGGGGTACGTCAGTTTTATCGAAAGTGTTTTAAACCTTACGTCATGTTATGGTCATTCATTGACAGAAATGTGAATGTTACAAGATGATTACACATGATTACACTCAACGTCGTTCAGTTGGACGAGGGTTGAGTGGGAAGTAAAACAAAACAAAAACACAAAACATAAATCAACGTTTGAATTATTTTAAGTTTCTATCCGTAGAAAATAGCTCTGGGGTGACATATTGGAATCGTCTGACCTACCAGTACAAGTTTTCCTCGCCCATCTTTTGAAAGGCCCGCGAAATGGACTTGTCCCCCGATGACAGGTGACTGTCCATGTCGATACCGCGCTCACGTGACAGGAAGTCGATACAAAACTGGGAATCTGCTATGGCTTGGCCGTTATACTCGATCCATGGAGTTTTGCCTTTCTTGGAGAATCGGCTTGAGTGAATGTTCTGGAAAGGTCAAATTTATGTTGGAATTAGAAAATACAGAGATAATTAAAAACAAAACTAGGAGAAAAGAACCTATACATTACATGTCAGTTGGTTTTATCAAGACCAAAAAAATGAGAGACTGAGAGAAGTGGTATTATCTTTCGAAATGTAATTTGAACTGTTTAAAACTGATATATAAATTTGGAAAAAATTCAAATCACATAAGACACAACTGCGGAATAGTATTTCAGGCAGGTTTTCTTTGGAAAGGTTTCCTACGTGGTATAATCTTTCGAAATGTAATTTAAACTGTTTAAAACTTACATTTAACTTTCGAAAGAGAATACAGTCACGTAATACACAACTGTTGAAGAGTATTTCAGTCGGGATTTTCAATGAAAAGGTTTGCTGTTTTGGGGCACAAGTGTGCAAACATTCTAAGGGTTATGTGGTTGCAAACTCATTTCTTACCCCGGTGTTCGTTGAACTAATGATGATTTGTACACAAACTTACTCGGCCACAGATAACCTTTCACAGACTGTTACAGGAATGGGCGATGGTTAAATACACGTGATCAAATTGAACATGTATTTGTCCATTTTTCAATAACATTTAAAACATATACATACTTTCTTTTGATCGTTAGTTGAGAGTGAAATTAACTGGATTTTCGAAAATGAGCAAATTACCTGTAGTTCGACACATGGGGATTTCGACATTAAACCACGAAAACGTGCAAGTCCATCAATGTGTATTATCTAAATTGCATTGTGTTTTCATAGTGTATCATCTAATGTGTTATTTTGAATGTAAAATTCTTTGAAGGGCATTTAGAAGTGGAATGCATAAAAAGCACGATATATGGATGTCAACTTCTTTATTGAAGTTGACATCCATATATCTTGCTTTTGAATATAAAGTTAGAATAAACAAAATTTCTTTGCAAACGGTTTGAAACTATTCTCCAATTTTCTATGGCATTGTCATTAATAAAACAAGCTGATTTTACATAACCTTTTGTCGTTGTGAAAAAGTTAAAACAAAATCATTTACGTTAATATTTAGAATTTATAATGACTTACCATGTAAGGTATTTTATTGATCCTGAGGAACGTCTCCAGCTTGAGGGGGAAGGGTGAGACACTTGGACAATAGGGCCCCCTCCCGATCTGGTACAGCACCACCACGCCCTTAGGGACTGGATACGGTGACGATTTACTGCAAGGAGAACATAAGGACATTTATTATTGACAGATTCAGATCAGTCAAAGCTGTGAAGATCCGGGTTAGAATTGGTTCTTAAACTTTCTTTCTGTGGAGATATATGCTTGAGTCTACTTATTATGTCTTGGGCTAAAGTCTGTCAATATCAGATCCGCGAAGATCCGGGTTAGAATTGGACAGTAACACATGCTTGTCGGGATGACATGGTGAATCCTGTTGGTGAGGCCTGGCTGACACAGGTCATCGTATCCCAATTGCGTAAATCGATGCTCATGCTGTTGATCACTGGATTGTCTGGTCCAGACCCGATTATATAAAGACTGCCGCCATATACTGAAATATTGTTTTTCGATTGAGCAGTGCAAGGCAAAGCAACAGACTATGGTCGTTGTCTGTGGGTATTTTCCAGGCGCTTCTTAAAATGACAATGCGAAAATACATCGCAGTCATATTCACTGAAAAACGAAACACCATCTTTAAAGTTTAAATAGACAGTTCAACAAATTTTCTATTTAGACTGTCAGGAGATCTGAATATTTTCACCACACCAATTTTACGTTGCCATGTAACGAGTCCAAGCTAAGGTGTGTTTGCGAACTTCCATTATTGTAAGAGGAGGACGTAGAATCGTTTCCAGTTCAACGTTGGGTGGCATGGCTTCAAATAACAGCTACGTGTGTCGGGAGCGGGTGTGAGTGATTGAGTTTAGTTTTACGCCGCACTCAGCAATATTCCAGCTATATGGCAACGGTCTATAAATAATCGAGTCTGGACCAGACAATCCAGTGATCAACAGCATGAGCATCGATCTAAGCAAATGGGGTACGAAGGCATGTGTCAGCAAGCCTGACCGACCGATCCCGTTAGTCGCCTCTTAAGAAACATGGGTAACTGAAGATCAATTCTAACCCGGATCTTAACAGGTCAGGAGCGGGTGTACGGGAATTGGTGTCAATGAGTGAGTATGGTTTTACGCCACTTTTTATCAATATTCCAGCGGAGGACGCCAGAAATGGGCTTCACACATTGTACCCATGTGGGGAATCGAACCCAGGTCTTCAGCGTGACGAGCAGACGCTTTAACCTCTAGGCTACCCCGCAGACAGAAAATAATGACAAGCGAAAAGCGACGTAAAAACTTATTTACTCACCAGTATGGAAACTGTCGCCAAAACGCATTAACCCTAACGTACAACAAAACCATGAAACCCGTATCAAATATCAAGTTCTTGTTTGTTTTATTTCAGTAATCAAAAAATGGGCGTATACGTTCTTTATCCAGGCAGCTGATGTGCGGGAATGTGACACTACGAGTAAGATTAACTCAGCTGTACGGGCCTTTTGTTTGTCATCAAACACTCGGCTATTTTTGCATTTTTCTTCCAGAAAAAGGGTTACTGAAATCGACACCAGCATCTCTATAGCCCACGATCGCTGTAGAAAAAGTATATTCTGTCAGGTGATTAGCTATGAGACATTTAGCGAGGTGTTTCACGATACAGGTCCAGCAAATATAGACAGAAACTTTACACTTTGTCCTGTGTTTGTGAAATTGACTGAATTAAATGTCTCTGAAATGTTATTTGTGTTGAAAAGAACTGCTTGAGGGAAAGAAGATGACGAGTCGAAAAGTGATTCCATAGATGAGATTCCGCGCGTGCATCAGTAAATTCGTAAATTTAGATAAGACTAGTGAGTCGTGATGATACAAGCACCGTTGTGTCGAAGTTTGAGGGACCTACGTAAATACTTCGAGTTATCCGATTTTTTACCTAACAGCAAAATAATTTCCCATGAATACGCAAGGAACAAGCTTTTACTTGGATACAAACGTCATAAGAGGCATTTATTTCGAGACAACCGTCAGGGCACAGAATTCTATTTCGGGACAACCGTCAGGGCACATCAGATTTCGACACAACGGGGTCTGGCTGTATATCGATTTGTTTCATTTTAAAAGAGTTTATAGAGAGAGAATATTGAGGTTGACAACCGGCCAGATAAGGCTTGGGTCTGGAATTACAGTGTGAGCATAGTTTTACGCCGCTTTTAGCAATATTCCAGCAATATCACGGCGGGGGACACCGGAAATGGGCTTCACACATCATACCCATGAGGGGAATCGAGCCCGGGCCTTCGGAGTGACAAGCGAACGCTTTAACCACTAGGCTACCCCTCCGCCCCTGTTGAAATAAGAGTGTACAGTTGCTAACTGTTTGCATTGTTTCAGAGAGCATGGCTTTATAAAAGTCACATATTCTACCCACACTTGAGAGTTATTTGGGTTACAATCTGTCCAACGTCATTTGTGAACTTCATTGTCAGCCAATCATCGAGGAGATTCTTATGAATTCTTGGTACGACCGAAGCAGTTTTGACAACATATCTGATTTCTGAATGGTAAAAAGAACAAAAGCGCGCAGTTCGAAATGGAGAATGATAAAGACCGTAGAGCTTTGCAGAGTTGTGTCCCTTAAGATCCGAGGTTGGTTGGTTGGAGTGGACCATGAGTCATGGTTTCTCAGCACCAAACATGCCGTCGTGGGTTTCACTGGTAAGACTGGAGGTCGAAAGCTATCTATGCCTGTCGTAAGAGTGAGTGAATTTAGTTTTACTCCGATTTTAAGACTATTCCAACAATATCACACCAGAAATGGGCTTCACAGACTGTACCCATGTAGGGATTCGAACCCGGGTCTTTGCGCTACGAGCGAACGCTTGAACCACTAGGGCGTTGGGCTACCTCACCTGCACCGTCGTAAGCAGTCATAGGTCGAAGGGATGGTCAGATTCGCTGACATTGTGATTGCATATCATCATAGGACGAACCAAGATTCGCTGACATTGTGATCAACACACATACACGCAAACGCACACACACACGCACGCAAAGGCTTATGCTCACATTTATCAAGGAGCAACTATGTGTCTGAAACAATGGAATGTGGTGTCACAGTAGGCTACTTTCTATCACTATACTACGGGGGGCTGGGGGTAGCCTAGTGGTTAAAGCGTTGGCTCGTCACGCCGAAGACCCTGGTTCGATTCCCCACGTGGGTACAATGTATGAAGCCCATTTCCGGTGTCCCCCGCCGTGATATTGCTGGAATATTGCTAAAAGCGGCGTTAAACCCCCCAAAAAACCTCACTCACTATACTACGATAATAAAAATCATTTGACAGTTATTAATTCTGTAATGGACATTTCTGGGCAATGCAGTATTCAATATATTTGCCCATATTTCCCAGCCACCCCGTTAACATTCAAACGATGGTTATCAGCACAGCTAATCCAAACCCACAGAGGACATGTTTGGCGTTGAAACACAATGCAGTATTAATGACCTCTCCATCATCAAAAACTGGCATAGCTCCCACCTGAATATTTTATTTCATATCAGATCCTATCGGCGCGTTCAGTCGGGCTCTAATGACATCCACTTGATTAATAAAATATTTCCATTACGCCATTTTCTCTGAGGACGCGCGTGCCTATGTCGGAAGTAGCTAATAACGTAACGTCACTGTGACGGTGTGTGTTTTTTATGGCTCTTGGTGAATCTTTCATCACATCAGTAAGCTAGGTTACTGAGACCGCTCTTAGTTATTTTTCAATCACGGTGAGCGTGTAAGAATACGTTGTAATATTATTAATAGGTGAGACACTGATAAGCAATTACCTTTTATCATGAGAGCGATTGTCAAAAAAATGTATATAACGATTTTTCAAAATTTCTTTCTCAGTTTTACGTGACAAGGAACAAATAGGAAAAGATTACTCTTTAATGTACGTTGATACAGGAAAGGCCGTTTTGGCCTGCTGGCTAATCACTATCGCGTTTAGAAGCCGCATATCCACATCGGCCGTCATAAAAGGTCGCAGCGTAAAGAGAAACACGAACCAGTCTGTGTCAAAGTTTGAGGGTGGTTTTACGTTTCATTGTTAGCCTTATGGAAGGTGTATCACGACCAGAAGCATGCAGGAGAAGGATAACAATATATTGATAACAACTTCTTTATTACAGTGAGAGCAGAGACCATATATATATGGTCTCTGGTGAGAGCGACGTTTTCAAGCAAGCAAGTAAGAACCTATATTGTTATTCTGCCGTTCTGTTCCAACTTCTAAATGCCTCTCAAAGAAGAGAAGTATACAGATGTTTCAGGTAACACATTTCTATACCCTTGTGCGGAATCGAACCCGGACTGTTGACATGGCGGACAGACGCATTTTTAACTTAGCTTCCACCAACCGTCCCAACCCCGACCGAGCGTTACCAAAAACTGGAACGTCTAAATATCACGTGACCTGAAACGTCACACTTGAAGTCTCTTCCTTCACTGGAAACTGTAGTGATATGAAGCGCAGCCTGGTTCCCGGGATCTGCTGCGCTAACGCTTAGACAGTGTTAGCGCAGCAGACACCGGAAACCAGATTGTATAAAACGCAGTGAGGATTGTTTTTGTAAATAAATGTCCATGACGCCCAAATATTAACATGATAACGTCATCCTCGTTGTTGGATTAAGCATTGCTCAGAATAAACGTTCGGTGACTACTTTCAAACATCATTTTCGGTTTAAACAAAATATGTTACAGTTACAGTTTCCGAACTAGCGTGGTTTTGAACGTTTTGCTTTCGCAACGCATAACGGAACAACTCGGAGAAAGTCTAAACTGTTCCGTGGAATTTACATTCTGTAAATAACATACTTTGACATCTACTGAGAGAGATGTGACCCGTGAAGATCCGGGTTAGAATTGGTCTTCAGCAACCCTGCTTGTCGTAAGAGGCGACTAACGGGATCGGGTGATCATCGTACCCCAATTGCGTAGATCGATGCTCAGGTTGCTGATCACTGAACTGTCTGAACTGAACTGACTCGATCATTTACGGTTTGGTAGCCTTGTGGTTAAAGCGTTCGCCTGTCACGCTGAAGACCCGGGTTCGATGTAATCTAAACTGTTTAAAACTGATATATAACTTTGGAAAA